GCACTAAATAAACCTTCCACATCAGACAGAGGTTCACCTGCATATCCGTCAATGTGGTCTATTGCATCTGTTGCTCCCGATGTAGCCTCCTCTACATCAGGGCGGCCAAGCGGAGGCTTGGAGACTGCTTTGTAGAGCATCCATGCTCTGTTCGCGACAAACACCACCACCTTCCGGTTGCGAACCCTTTCTACTCCCCCCTGCTACTCCCTGGGTGACATGGGTCACAATGACGCCACCCAGAAATTGGAGGAGCAGCACCTCACATTACGCCTCAGGAGTCTACAGCCCAATGGCCTAAATGTGGATTTTTACCAGTTTCAAAACCTCTCCATCCCGGCCTCATCCCATGACCAACCCTCCCTCTCATCACTGCCTACTTGACCTGACACGACCTGTCCATCTTCTCTCCCACCTATCCGCTCCTCTGACCTCACTGACCAATCCCCACCACTCCTTGCCTGCACTCCCCTATCACCATCCCACCTACCTTTCCCAGCCCCACTCCTCCTCCCTCTATTTGTTTCTGAGCTCCCATCCCCCTACCCCATTTCTGAAGGGTCCTGACCCGAAACGTCAACTTTCCTGCTTCTCTGATGCTGCCTGGCCTGTGTTCCTCCAGCTCCACACTTAAATCGGACTCCAGCATCAGCATTTCTTACTATCTGTGGAGCCAGCGGTCCCAAAGGCCCCACTCGGGCCCAGTGTGACAATGCCTACCGCCACACTAACGTCTCTGTGGTTCTACAATTGGAGGGCCCCCTCAAGGGCATCCAGATCTGGCAGAGGTTGTGTTAGAGCTTCCAAACCCCACACAAATTACCTGTAATTCTCAGTGAGGATCTCAACCTCAAGAGGCATGTTTTGACCACTTCTTGACACATGATAAAACCGTACAAAAATGATGTAGGTTTGGGAAGGTAAGGAAGAATGTTTTCCATCTGAAAAAATAATCTAAAGTGCAGCAATTTTGAACATTGCTTTGAACTGAAGGTGGAAATCAAAAATCTGGCCCTTGATCATCAATTCAGAACTGAACCTGGGTAATTAGAAATCACCTTCTTATGGAAAAGTCACTTGCACACTACTACATGCCAAATGTATAAAGCCAACAGCAATAGTAGTGCTGTCACAGTGCAAGTCTTCCAAGGAAAAAATAACTAACATCTGATGAAGGGAATTACAGATGGGCATCTTAGAAATATAATTTCTGTTGGATCGTGAACGACTGAATGAGAAGGGTTATTAAATTAAATACATTACGTACAACTTATGCGACACCACATGCACTTGTTCAATGTAAGGTGCTGAAATCTTTCCTTTGCACAGTCATTCCATCCTTCTGTGTTGTCGATAGGTTCTACATCAGACAGTCTGCATTGTAAAGCCTGAAATGCAGAACAATTGAGTAATTATTTTGTGAGATAGATTTAGAAATTTTTGCAATCAAAAATCCCATTTTTTAAAATTTCTTTATGAGGCAACAGAACTTTCATTGATGTGCTTAACGTGGACCATACCATGGTCCACATGAATTGCCACATAAAAAGGCTTTGCAGCAAAAGGAAAACTAAGTCTAAGAGGAAAGCACTAGGGTGTGGGACTGGCTATTCTAATATTGCAAAAAGGTATAATGCACTCAAGAAATTAAATGCTCGATTCTGTTCTGATAACATTCTATCATTTTATATTTCAATAATTCAATGACCATACTCAATCTCATTTGTAATATTTTCCTCATCTCTCACTTCACAATTGTTACAAACAGGACATTGAAAAGCATGACCATATTTATCTCTAATAAGAACTTCAAGTTCCAAAGTGGACACCCACAAAGTCAAAACAAGTAAATATACTATGTAGCAGCTCTAAAGAAAACTAAGAGGAGTGCAAGAAATGTGAAATAAGAGAATAGTTTGATGTAAAATTTATACATGCAAACACAAGCTAATTGAATGAGTAAATGAATAGCTAGATAATCTATTTCATACAAACATAGAAAATGCTGGAGAAACTCAGCATTGTCCAGCAGCATCTGTGGTGACAGAAAAAACAGTTAACATTGAGTCAACTTCAAAACAGTCATACTGGACTCAAAATGTTAGCTGTTTCTCTTTCCACAGATGCTGCCAGACCTGCCAAGTTTCTCTAGCATGTTGTGTTTATTTCAGATTTCCAGAATCTGCACAATTTTATTTTTACACATCATCTATTTATAGGTTCTGTTAAGGAATATTGGAGAAGACATCTGAATGCTACTACAGGATCTCAATTGTGCAATCAATATATACAGGCCTCTATATCACCTGAACTACAGCACCTCCAACAGTACACAACACTAAGTATTACACGCAAATCTTAAACCTATAAATTAGGAAAAATGACTACTGGATTCTCAAAATTCATTCCAGTTAATAATATTAGTTCATTCTTGAAGATGTCGCGAAGCGGTCCAGTCTTTAATGCATTAATGGACTACTAAAGTCACTTAGAAGAGACATGAAATCTTCCCAGATTTTGAAAGATCCGAACAGTGTGTGGGCGACCTGCCTACTCCTGTTCAAGGTTTTACTTTCAGAATTTCCTACTGTTTCCTGTCTCCCAATGCAAATCACAAGATACATCCAATATCATGCACATAATCTCTTGATGGATAAATACAAAGTGGATCGCCAGCAGCTACAATTTAGTAGTGGAAAGCTGAATTTCCAGGGAGGGCATTGACAATGCCCGTGGTAGACAACTTTGAGAAGGTACAACAATTGAGAACTTAGGTACTCCGCATTCTCTGGAATTGTTGCTTGGTTCTCTGGGAACAAGGGAGCGTAGCAGACAAACAGGTATACTGTTATACGGAAGTTTTCCACATATTTGATTTCCTCAGCAGGCATGTATAAGGGGTCTCAAAGTGCCGAGCTATTCTTCAGATTATATAACCAGAGAAGAGGCTAGATCCCAAGTAAAGATCAAGTTCAGACAGCTATCATGAGTGTTTTCATTATTGCACAGGTTCCTGCAATGCCCACTGATTAGCAACACGCTTTGCGGTTAACTGCACAGTCTTAATACAGTATGCAAAGACGGGACTCATTTCCCAGTATTATATCCAAGCTTGTTGTCAAGCAGATCAAGGGGCTTAGATGATCCATATGGATACAGTACAGTATGGAGGACTGCCACCAACTATCCCCACAGCAAACCTATCCCAATTTCCTGGGTTCTACAAATTAGCACTTGGTATATCACCACATACAGACCCATCAAGCCTACATTCTAAACTATGTGGGGTACTACTCTGAGCAGATAGCTGTAAGTGTGCCCAATCCAGTGTCCTGTAAAGTGTTACTCCAATTTCTGCAGTACTGTATCTATCCTTTCTTAGGGTCACTAAAGGCTATTTGAATTTACAACTGAACAAGAGGACAACTGTTAGCCTTTGGTACAGGCACACAGAAACAAAATGAATTGTTTCCAAAACTATAACAATTCATTATGCTTAGTGAAAAAAGATATGTTGAAAGTGAGATGGGGAGGGGGTTCGGGGCTTCGCCAGTTGCCCTCATGACATGCCACCACCTACAATCTCCACAAATGATTATGTAAGGCAGCACATAGATGAAGCATAGACCTCCTGTTGTGGCTGCCTGACATCCGTGATACTAGTGAAACACTGGTGTGAATATCAGGACAAAAGAGTGTTGCTGTTTTACGAAAGGTAGTAGATATATGAGGAAATGAAAGGAATTAGCACAGAGATCAGTCGGTGCAGACTGCTTCAGTAGGAGCAGTCAAATATAAAGTGAAGTATGCAGCAATTCAGGAGAGTAAAAGGTGTAGTCTATCAGTGCAGCTGATAGTTTTGTTCTTGGTCTTCCACAAAGAGGTGCATAACAATAGATAGGCATTAGAAGTGGCTTTACATTGTTTGAGGTTAATGAATTTTCTTTTTGCATAATGTCATGCATTGGAAATGACACTATTTCTAATTCATTGCACAACCTCTGTCCACTCATAGCCAGCAGCTTACTTTACTTTTTCTTCCCCAACACGCTAAGTGTGACTCTCCCACTGTCTGTATCTTCAGTAGCAGAGTCAAAAAAGGTGGACCCTTGTCTTTTATCCCAGACCTGTCATAAGCTACAGTATATCTGTCTGTTGCCCAAGGGCATTACCTTGTGGTACAGACTTGTTTTACAATTACTGAGAAGCACAATATTGACATTACCAATAAATAAGCTGTATTGCTCATCTGGAGCTGTTGTTGCACCAGTGTAATCAGATGTGTGCTCAGACTATGGCATCTATTTTGCACTAAACATGTGTGTCTTTGACCAACTTTTGCCTCTCAGATTTTAAAATAGTTCAGATTAATCCATATGGAACACTATGGAACAAAGGATATTTCAATCTAAATCCTACTGGAAAGAAATAGAAAGATCATGTTACTGTCAGACTGGAGTACACTTGGAAGTCAATTACCAAAAACAAAATTGCTGTTAATACTCAGTAGTATGTCAAGGGGTTGGAGTGCAAGAGTAGTGAAGTCTTACTGAAAATAAACAAGATACTGGTGATACCATATCTGGACTAATGACAGCAGTCTTAGCCCCCTTAGTTAAGAAAAGGCATTATTTCACTGGAGACAGTTCAGAGCAGGTTCACTAGGATGATCCATCGTACGGAGGGATTGTCTCATGAGCAAAGGTTAAACTGTGGCACGGTGGCTCAGTGGTTAGCACTGCTGCCTCACAGCACCAGGGACCCAGGTTCGATTCCACCCTCGGGTGACTGTGTGTGGAGTCTGCATGGGTTTCCTCTGGGTGCTCCAGTTTCATCCCACACAGTCCAAAGATGTGCAGGATAGGTGGATTGGCCAAGCTAAATTGCCTTAGTATCCGGGAATGTTCAGGTTAGATGGATTAGGCATGGGGGAATGCAGGGGTGGAGATGGGCCAGGGTAGAATGGTCTTCAGAGGGGCAATGCGGAATTGTTGGGCCGAATGGCCTGTTGTTTCAGCACTGTAGGGATTCTATGACTTATATAAAAAGGTTGGAATCCTACTCATTGGAATTTGGAAAAAGAAGGGGTTCTGAGAGGGTAAATGCAGAGCGGATGCTTTCCTTCCTGAGAGGCTAAAGAGCAGAAGGAAGGGTCTCAAAAACAAAAACGCCAATTTAAGACCGGAGATGAAGAGAATTTTCTTCTGTCCGAGAGTTGAAACACTTTGGAACTCCTTGCCATATAGATTTAGGGGCAGAGTCCTTGTGAATATTTAAGGCAGTGATAGATTTTTTTCAGTTAGAAATCAAGGGTTTTTGGAAAAGGGCAGGAAAGCGAACGTGGAATCTCAGATCAGTCATGATCATACTAAAATGGAAAAACAGGCTCAAGAGGGCTGATTGGCCTACTCCTGTTCCTATTTCTTGTGGGCTTAGTGCTCTGGCAGCATCTGTGAAGTGTATGGCTGCTTGCAGTTCTGATAAAGGCCCACAGATTTAAAAATGTCAACTCTTCACAGATGTTATCAGGCCTGCTGACAGTTCTAGTATTCTTTTTTACTTCAAATTTCAACATCTACACTAAAACTTTGGAGATGATATAGGAGACAGCAGTGAAGGAGACCATTTGGTCCCATGAGCAGGTACTGGCCTCTGGAGAGCTATTTACATTAGTTCTCTTTACATCTAGTCTTTTCTGACCGACCTCTAGATCAACAATGCATAAAAAGGCTTTTAATCTCATTTCTGGAATTACAAATGCCTCATACAGGCAAGGGGAAAAAAAAAACAAACAAACAGTCTTTGAGTTTGTTAAGGCAGAGGTTCTGATGACTTTCCTTCTGAAGATCCTACTTTATCTGATAGTACATCCAGGTTCACACTTACCTGAATAGGCAAGGTTAGAAAGTCCTCTTTTAATTTCCTTGTATTTGTTACTGGTATTCGTGCTGTGTTGCCATAATCAACGTACTTGACATCAACTTCCCTCTGTCCAGGTAAGCCTAAAATAAATATATCACCCTTGTGACTTTAAATATTTTTCTATTTAGTTAAGGCGTTACAAAAAAGGTAAAACTCAAAAGAAATTGCACTAAAAAGAGCAGGTAATTTCAAAAACTACTAGTCAATAAACACTAAGTATATTATTATAAATATGTACAGTTCAAGACGACTCAAATACACAGGCAGAATATTGCCACGGCAGAGTTAAAAAGTGATAGAGGTAATAAAAATACAGAAGAAAAATTAATTTAAGAAGCTTGAAAAGTTCCCACAAGGCGAATGTTTACGGGAGAGCTCCAGAGGAAATAGATGTACTTGTTCCACAAAGTTGCAAAGAAAGAAAAAATGTTTTGGACACAACTTTGGCAGTAACATTTGCTGAGCCATCACATATGATCAAAAAAACGAGTGCAACAGATCCAAAACCTGCTTCACTCATGGCAACTTATTTGGTACACAGCAGTGCCTAAAACAAGAGCTGGTTATCTTAAAGCACGTGCAGCAGACCCAACAGCTGTCTTTAGGGCAGCAGAGATATGTCAGGACCACAGGCAGTCACAATACTTGCTTGAGACTTTGACCATTTGTGCAGTCTAGCAGCAGAGTAGAAGCTGACAGTGATTTTAAGGCAACATGTTCCAAATCTTGGAATAATGATGGCATTGAAGGAGTCATGTCATAAAGATAAGCGGGTAGATGGTGGCGTAATAGTAACACAACTGGATTAGAACTCCAGAAGTCCCACAAGGGCAGCTGGTGTAATTTAAATTCATCTTAAATGTGCAGTTGAAAGTCAGTCAGTCTCAGCAATAGTGACGAAACTGATTGCTGTAAAAACTGACTTGCTTCGCTAATGTCTTCAACGGATATTGACTGTGCTGCATGCAACTGGAGATCTGAAGCAATCCAGTGGCTGACCCCTAAAGTATTCTGAGGTGGCCTCGTCAGCCACTCAGTTAAAGGGCAATAAGTAACAGATGCAAGTTGTTACCGATTTCCACACCCAAATGAAAAAAAAATAAAGAAAACAAAATGTTTTTGAGGAAGACAAGCAGGGGTTTAAAAATGATATTTGCAAGCAGAAGGCTAATTTAGTGAAGTTGGTCAATTTGGGCCTCAAAATCATGAGGTCTGGGTAAGTACTCTACCACTTCCCCTGTCCTAGCCCAGAAATCAACAGAGCACTCAGCATGCAATCTGAGGCAAAAGGCAAAACATCAAAAATATTTGTTTACTAACATTTATAATAGTCTCTCATAAATAGTGTTTTTATTCCAAAGTTCACCTTCACAGTACAATAGAGCTGGAGGCTCATTGTTCTAGATGGTACATTTTCAGGTCATCAACTCCGATTCTGGATACTTTTCTCCACATCCTTGCATACTGCTTCGATTCAAATAATCGCTTGAAAGCTTCAACTGAACCTGCCTTCACTGAGAGTCCAGGCAGTGCATTCCAGACCCAAACCAGGTGTTCGTAAGAAAAATCCTTTTCACATATCGCATTTGCTTCTTTATCAAATCACTTTAAATCTGTGCCCCTTTGTTCTTGATATTTTAATGAACGGGGACAGTGATTCTTGTAAACCTCGAACATGTTCTCCAGTGCATTCATATTCTTACTATGGTAGGGTGCCCACAACTGGATACAAATAGTCCAGCTGAGGTCAAAAAAAGTATCTTGCATAAATTCAGCATAACACACTTATTCTTGTACTCTGTGCCCATCTGTGTTTATCATGGAAAGGACAACGACATCTGACTAGTTGATACTTGTTCTTTCAGTAGGCTTACTCTAAAATGACAAGTTATGTTTTTGTCTGCATCATTGATAGCTCCAAAAAACAATATTTTTTATAAGGAAAACATACATTACTACCAGAGCAAAGATGAAGGAACTCAATGAACAACTTTAGCAGAATAATCTAAAAAGAACCTTACACAAAACATTAACTAGCACCAAAACAGCATCCTGTACATATTTTAATCACCTAGGAGATCTGAATAAAGTTTTCTGTATTTTCTTAGGTTTTTCATCCTTTAAGAAAATCTAGCTTATACATGGAAGGCAATGCACATGTTTTGATGCAGTAGGTCAGAGTTGTGTCAGACAGGGTGGACAGACCAGTGTCTCTTTTACTTAGCAGTTGATTTACTACAATCAATTTAATGACTATTAATAAATGCCAGTAAACAAATATGACATTTTTGCTGTTTTATCTTAGGCTGCACGTCAAGTATTCCATTTTAAAAAGAACAACCATTGACTTCTGGGTTTGGACATGACAGGGTAAGTGGTAATCAATAGTACAAATATTTACCATATGCATTTACTTACCACTAATTTGACATCTGTACCATCCTCCATCATCAAAGAGTGCTGCACAAGCCTGTCCTACAAATGGGCATAGGATCTCCAAATTGACATCTTTTCCAGTATAAAATTCAAACATGTTTCTTGTGAGGATGAGAAGATCCACACTATCTATCTGTAGCAGGAAGCAGAAAAACAAATACTTGTAAAACCGGGCAAATCATTTCCTTCAATGATTAAATTCACCAATTGCTGCGTAATGTAACCTCAGATCATAAACTAGGAAGGTTCCATGTTCATGCTGGTCAGTGTCCAGTTAATTAATTCTCAACTGAAGTAGCAAACATGTATTCGGTCAGGTTAGGGCACAATCAAATCCAGTCAATCATTTCAGTCTTTGGCTCTTGTGGCACAGTAGTAGTGTTACAATCTCTGGGCCAGAAGGCCCAAGTTCAAGTCCCACCTGCTCCAGAGGAATGTAATCACATCTCTGAACAGGCTGATTAGAAAATGTATAATCTTTCACTGAATAACAGTTAACACTTTTCAGGTCCATCATAAAGAATGATGGAGGCAGAGGACACTGATTTTTTGGATAACTATTCAAAGTGTCCCATATATATCTGTTTTTTCCTATTATTAGAAAATTAAAAACTTTCAAAAAAACTTTAAAAGCAACAATTTTCTGGATAATATTAAAGCAAATCATTTCTATATACATGCACTGGAAATATCAAGTAGGAGCCCTGTACTAAATCTATGCCATGCCACTATTTTCTGGAAAGGTTCAAATTATATGTATTAGTACAGAATATTACACAAATTTTAGCCTTACCTGTGACTATCAGAGAAACGTTATCCTTTATCAGACTCCAGCAGTCTTTAACAGTGAAGCATACCACCTTCCTGATACCTTTTAGGACTCTAACACGTCACATTTAAATGTGACGTGTCAGGAGTCTGCCTTCTGAACAGCTTTTAGTCCTTTTCCTACTTTATCAATAACAAATTAAGATGGTGTTCCCCATAGTAAAATCAAATTTGCCCTTGTAAGGAACCAACTTCTACAATTTGAACAGCATTTATTTCACCCCACTCCAATTTCTTGTCGACATTTCTTCTTACACATGCATCGGCATTTTTCTAACTGGTCTTAAAAGACATTTGAATCAGTTCCCTTTCAAGTACCTTCAGATTCCAAGAATCATTCTCTACCAATCTCTCAGTCTATACCAGGTGTTCATAGTATCTTCCCTCTCCAGATCAGAGAATTCTCTATTAATACACGAAAACCACAAAGTACTGCAGGATTGGAGATACAGACAAAAGGTGCCAAATCTCAGCCATCCTCAAATGGTGATAAGTCAGGTGACTCAGGTAATACTATTTTGCATTAATTATCTTGCCTAGGTAAAACCTCCCATTCACAACAACACCATTTTGAAAAATAAACTAGTATTCAAAAGAAAGAATTCTCTTGCTATGGATATCAAATAACATTTTACAGACTGGCTGCACTATTCTAGCAAAAACACTGTTTAAAATGTTAGTCTTTCCATACCTTATGATGCAGATTTTTGGGAAAAATGCTTAAAAACATAAAAATTACCAACTGAATGTAGAAATCCAAAGGACTGTTGATATGCGTAACCATAATTTCAATCTCCTTTGAAAAAGGTGGCCTTACAGGTGGATAATACTGCATAGTCAATAGGTTGATTTCCAGATTTGGCGTGGGAACAGAATATTCACTAACAAATCTGAGAAGATAAATGCTTATTTAAAAAAAAATACAAAGAACATTCACCAACTAATTCATTGAGTGTTTATTTGACTTATTGAGCAATCCCAGACAGATTTGGAAAACAGAACTACTCCTGATGTTGGCAATGACCTATTAGATTGAGACAAGTCACAAAATAATTGCATTCTTTTCCCCTTTTGCGTAAATTGTGAAAATACATGGGATACATTTAAGTGTGCACCAGATGCAGCATGCAAAGGACATTTTGGGTAAGTGTTATAATGGAAACAAAACTATAACTGGCTGTTTAGAAGCCTGACCTGCTGCCATAGCGCACTGCAAGTGGGCAAAACAAGCGCTTGCCAGGACTTTTGCCCCTCACTGGGAGGTAGTCCTGTCCTCTGGAGTTGCCAGCCGATCTGATTGGCTAACAGTCCCCACAGCGCTGAAGTTCATAAGGAGCACTGACAGGATTTCTGGCAGGCCCCTGTAGGAAGTCCTACAGATCCAGATAAATGCAGGGGCTTTGGACTAGGGCTCATTTTCATAACCTGGGAGGCAGGGTGCAGGGACAAGGACGATGGTATGTTTTAAAGAACATACAGGTGAAAAGGAAGTGTATTTCTCTCCTCATTGGGTATCCCTAATGGACAAGAGACACCTTCCCAAGATAGTAACATCCATTCTTCCTGGTGTTTAAGCGGTTTAGGAAAGACAACCACACTCCCACCTGACTGCCAAAGCTGACCACGTTATGGGGTGGGCAGTGTAATAGGGACTAGTTAAACTTTAATTAATGAATAAATTATTTACATGTTTTGCAAATTTTGGCACCCACACGTGCTCTTTATCATGGGTGAGCTCAGGTGTGGTGCAAAGGTGATGTACTATCCACCTGCCCGATATTACATGCACAAACTACCCCCACGCCTAGCCAAAAACACAGCTAATGGGGAAACATAACATCCAACCCAATGAATTAGTGAACTTTCATCTGGCCGATTGAGCATTTTGGATAGCATGTTTTCCCTGCTGCTTGTAAGAACATTACACAAAAGTGAAATTGAGCAGTCCGAACCCTGTACTTGGTGAAAATAGTACAGAATTTACAATCAAAGAGCCTACAGGCTATCTGTGGCCAGGCAATGAAAATACACTTGGGGGTCCAGATATTTTGGGGACTGACAATCTTACTCAGTTTGCCACTCTGACCCTTTTATTTTACAAAACGGCAGCAACTCCACCAGTCTGAGACGAGACTCCACTCCACTCAGGTCTCCCTCAGAAACACAAAGACATTTCAAGGGCGGGATGGCATGGAGTCTAGTATGGCCCTGTGAGGGGCGGGGCGGGTGGGGTTGAGGAGGAGGAGGAGGAGAAATGGTGGTTTGATCCAGTACCAAGCTGGTCAGGTCGGGTCAAAGAGATGTCAGTCCCAGATCTGGGGGTAAGTAGTCTAGGCAGAAGAGTAGTTTGGGAGTTTTGAGATAATATGGAATCAGCTTAATACTCATTCAGGTGTTAGACTGTGTATTTAATAATTAACTTTTTCTGAGCAACATTTTTAGTTAATTTCATCAGAACTATCCAAAGTCTGGTGATTTTTTTATGAAATCTTTGGAAGGTACCAGGTGTAGAGGAACTGCCCAGAGAAAAATTCAATTTCCCAGGCAATTGTTGCACTGTTACAATGCAGATATTGCAGGGCTCCCAAGTACAGTCTATATGCTGGCATATAGTCTATTTAGCCCACAGAAAATCTGCTGTTTAGACTTCAAGGATTTGTGAACTTTAATGAAATTAAAGTTTCAAACACTGGAAGGCAGGAAAAAAATGCAATAGGTATAGGCCCTTAATCAGTTTATTTAAGCAGAATAAAACAAAATCCACAATTTGAGATGATTAGAGAGCATAAGCATTTAGATTCCCCTCAGGAAGTACCTGGCCAGTTCCAAGAATACAAGTGCATCACGTAATGAGACAGGAACATCACTTTCCATCTTGTCCATCGGAGGCTTTTTCAAATCCACAAGTAGTTTGTCACCATCCTCTCCCAAAACTATCATCTGTACAGCTTTGTTATCCACAATTCGTGTAAATTCATTCCTGGCTTCCACACTCCAACTGTTGCTCTATCAAAATGGTAAAAAGACAAGCTGGTCCAATCGAGATTAACAATCTGATACGGCAATAACAACCACATAAATTAGAAGCAATATTTTGATCTTTATTCGAAAAGCACAAGTTAGCATCGAACTCTTTTAGAAAGGAATAGAATAATCAAACCCTATCATGGAGAAAAGTAACATTCAAATCACACAAGCAATTAATGAAACATTTACAAATTTTTAAATAGAAAGATAAAGAACTGAGATGGCACGGGAGATTTTTGCGTGTTAACTCAGACGATACGCAAAATAATCCTTGAGTAATTTGGATAGCAAAATGTTTCCCCTGGAAGATGGGCAGGAGGAGAAACAAATCAAGGGATCCAGAAACAAAAACCTCAAAACCAAAGCCTTCATTGTAGGTGTTTTGACAAGAAAATGCTTGTCCAAAATCAACAAGTTGTCTCCCATCACCACAAAAAACCGCGACCACCTCCTCAGAAGACAGACACAGGGCATGACCAACAAGAGTACCCTTCATTGCCCAGTACTTCCCTGGAACAGAGAAACTATGCCACGTTCTTCATAGCCTTCAATGTGTCATCAATGACAACAAACATCGCACCAAGGTCATCCCTACGCTTCCACTTCTCACCTCCAAAGAACGACCAAACCTTAAAGAGACCATCATTCGCAGCAAAGAGACCAAGCCTTCAGGACAACAGCGACTACAACACCACACAACCCTGCCACAGCAACCTCTGCAAGACATGCCAGATCAACATGGACACTATCATGCACAGGAACACCAACCACCACATATGTGGCAGGTACTCATGTGACTCAGCCAATGTTGTCTATCCTCATACTCTGCAGGCAAGGATACCCTGAGGCATGGTATATTGGTGAGACCATGCAGACATTATGACAACAGATGAATGGACACCGTGCAACCACCGCCAGACAGGAATGTTCCCTCCCAGTTGGAAAACATTTCAACAGTCAACGACATTCAGCCTCCAATCTTTGGGTAAGTATCCTTCGAGACACAACACAGAATTGCCGAGCAGAAACTGATAGCCAGGTTCCATACCCATGAAGAGGCCTCAACCGTGATCTTGGGTTCATGTTGTACTACTTGTAACCCCACCATACTGTTCTGCATTTGTAAAATCTTCCTTATTGTTCTGTTTTGACACCATCACCTTGATGACTTGTCATGGTCTCTCTACCTTAATTAGTTCGTAGAGTTTTGGATTAAGTGTTACTTTGGTTAGACCCTTGGCATGTGACTCATACCTATCATGTTATTCTAGCCATTTGGTTTGTCTCTAGCACCATTGTGTGTGTGTGTGTGTGTGTGTGTGTGTGTGTGTGTGTGTGTGTGTGTGTGTGTGTGTGTGTGTGTGTGTGTGTGTGTGTGTGTGTAGCTGAGGAGGCAAATGGCCTATGCCTGCTACATTTCCTGGTGTAATCTACAGTTCAATGGCCAGGACTGCATCTACAAAATTTAAAAATTTAACATAAAAGGTAGACAGAAAAAAATTACACTTTACAAATGGTAGCTGTAATAATAATCAGTTGTCTCATGTTTCCAGAAGAAAAATGTTCTGCATGTTAAATCACAATCTCTACAAGTGTTATAGTGCAGGTGGGGACAATTCAGCACACCTGTACCTGCACCCACTTGTCAAATGAGGATTAACAACAACCCCCTCCCCCAACCTTTCCCTTGCACATTATTTTTATCCTCAAATGAAACTTCCTCACAAAGTAACTTTTTAAGTTTTCCCTGTAGTGGCATTTTAAAAACAAATCCATAATAAAGAATAAAGAACTCCATAATATCAAAAGGCAGTTGTGTTTACCTTTAATGTCAAGCTCTACAGAAAACCTGTTTGTATTGTTAACCAGTAAAATAAATACAGTCACTTACCAGATTTGCTGGAACAATATCCTTCAATGAGCATTTAATCGCTAATGGAGGAATGTGATTTAGTGCTCCTTTCATGTGAGGGATCAGTTTTCTTACATACTGGTTAAAATCACTGACAAATGTGTACATATCCACACCATCCTCCAACTTCTTCAAAGTAGTATCAGTTCTACGAATAATGAAGTCTCTCTTTAGAAAATTGCTCATTTAGGTAAACATCACATTTAAAAATCTCTGCAAATCACATTAGCATATAAAAATATATTAAATCCAGGGTTGTGGAGCAGAGTGAGAGAGGCACTGCAAGTCCAATTCTTTGTACAGTTATGTGCACTGCCAGAGTCAGTGAATAGCGATTACGAAACTAGGTCATATTTTCTCTGTGCCTGATGAAAGCCCAACGTTTAAACTGCTTCCCCAGGAGAAATCAGCTTACTGGCAGTAATCAGGAATTGGACTACAGAAGCCCTCTAACGTGGGCATTTGGTTCAGCCGTACATTACACTGGTAAAAGCCAAAAGGTATCTGACAAGTTGAAAGCAAATTCAGAGCAAAATATGTCATTAAAAAATTCTTAATACGAAGACAAATTGTTGCAGATGTCAAAAAACAAAAATCAGGAAATATTCTTGACCAAGAAACAGAGTTAACACTTCAGGTTGACAAGTTTTCATTAGAATTTAAGTTAGCGATGTGGTTACTTGAAGCAAGCTTTAAGGCAGGGAAAGAGAAACGATAGAACAAGAGGGGAAGATCTGGGACAAATGCAAACAGAACTAAAAAAAAAAAAAAACCAACAGATATGCTCCACACATTGTAGGTAGTCAGGGTGGAGAAGGCAGCATTTGGTACGCTTGCCTTCAATGGTCAGAACAGCGAGTATAGAAGTTAGGATGTTATGTTGTGGCTGTACAGGACATTGGTGAGTATTTTGGAATGCTGCATATAATTCTGGTCACCCTTATATAGGGAGGATATTGTTACAACTCAAGAGGGTGCAGTAACAATCGACAAGAATGCAGGGTTTGGAGTTATAGGAAGAGGCTGGGGTTTTTCCCCTCCAGAGAGTCCGAGGCTGAGGGGTGATCTTAGAGGTTTATAAAATCATGAGGGACACGGATAGGGTGAATGGTGGTGGTGGTAAGCAGGCATAGGTTTAAATGTGAGATGGGAAAGAAAGATTAGAAAAAGGATTGAGGCATGCCTTTTCCATGCAGAGGGTGGTGCATGTATGGAATAAGCTGCCAAAGGAAATGGGACTAGGTCAGCCGAAGGGTCTGCTTCCATGCTGAATGACTATGGTCTATAAGCTGCTTTTCAAAAACTAAGCAAAGCACGCATGAAATGATCTAAGATTGCTGAACTTAAATGTTGAGACCAGAAGACTGCAAAGTGCCTAATCAAAGAAATATTCCTAGCTTATGATATGCTTCATTGGAACAGTGCAGAAGACAGGGTAGAGGGTAAGTGAAGCAGCAAATCAAAATGACAGGTGACATGAAGCTCAGATTCAGTTGCAAATTGAATGGACATGTTCTGCAAGTGATCATGCAACCTGCACAATCTCCCCAAAGTAGACAGGACCACGTCATGAGTAGCAAATACAGTTCACAGATGCTGTCAAGCATTGAGTATTTCAAGCATTTTGCTTTATTTTAACAATTTTATAATTGAATCAATTCTTTAGATATCTATAGTGCCATTTAATTGAATCATAAAATTGCATAGATTCAAGTCAGAATTCACACTACCTAGCAAGAAAATTCTTAATGTAAAACTAAGCAAGTCAAAAGAAACATATAAACACAAATCTTGGAGAATAATGATGTAAAATGTACAATGAACCTAATTCTTAAATTTGACATTTTGAATTAAGCTAATAAATACAAACACTATGCTCAAGAAATTTAAGTCAATAACTTTTTTTAAACTTGGGTCTAAACAACGCTAAGAGGGGAATAACATTGCATAAGTGTGAAATACACAGAGACTACTCTTGTTGATTAAAATTGGCTACGCGTAAAATTCTCCACTGAAAATTTACGATAATTGAATTCAACTTCAATCTGTAAAAACAGAAATATTCAGTCACCTCTGCAGTATTTTGCTTTTCTAACTTCATTTATCCATCCTAGAATCAGTTCTGAACTTCAAAATCTCTGATTTCCAGAAAATCCAACCAACCTAGTTTTTATCAAAACAAATAAGTTTGAAGTACTTCGGATGTGACCCTATTTCTGAATGTTCTGTTTGAGATTATTGCTTTAAAACATATGCAAATTCATTCATGGATAGGCATTCACACAGAAAGCATCCAAAACCAAGACAACTTGCATTTAAGAAAAACATTAGTTTTCATTAACCAAAAATTGTTCAGGAGGCATGTCAAAAAATGCAAAGCATTCCACTTTTGTCTGGTCATTTGTATAAAGGATTTGGATGAAAATATAGAAGGCATGGTCAGTACATTTGCAGGGGACACCAAACTTGGTGATACATAACCAACTTCACTGTCCACTGTAAAACAATGAGATCTTGATCAATTGGGTCAGTGGGCTGAGGAGCAGCAGGTGACACTTAAATTTGGATAAATGTGAGGTATTGTATGTTTGGTAATACAAACAAGGACAGGACTTCTACAATTAATGGTAGGGACCTGGGTAGTGGTGTAGAACAGAGACCTAGGAGCTCAGGTATAAAATTTTTTTTGAAATTGCCATCACAGGCAGACAGGGTGTTAAGGTGGCATTTAGCACCACTTGCCTTCAATACTCAGGCCATTGAGTATAGGATTTGGGATGTCACAAAGTTGCACAGGACATTGGAAAAGGCCTCTTCCAGAGTACCATGTGCAGTACTGGTCACCCTGTTATAAGAAGGATATTATTAAACTGGAGCGGGCACAGAAACGATTTACCAGGAATAGAGGGTTTAAGATACAAGTAAACTGGAAAGGCTGGGACCTTTTTCCACTGGAGCATAGGAGGTTGATGGGTGACCTTAAGGTTTACAAAAAGGCATGAGGGGCATAAATAAAGGTGAATGACAAAAGGTCTTTTCCCTAATGTGGGGGAGTTTAAAACATGCCTTCCAGTTTTGAAGGTGACAGGAGAAAGATTTAAAAGGAGATGAGGGGCAACTTTTTTTTTTAAAAAAAAAGACAGAGTGGCTCATGGGTGGAATGAACTGCCAGAGAAAGTGGTGGATGCAGGTACAGTTACAACGTTTACAAGACATTTGGATAAGTTCATGAATAGGAAAGGTTTGGAGGAAATATGTTATGTGCTGACAGATTAGTTTAGTTTAGTTTGGGAACATGGTCCGTGCAGGCTGGTTGGACCATCGGGTCTCTTTCCATGCTGTATGACAATGATTATGACTGCCAACATGATGTGTGTTAGAACAAGTGCATGAGAAAACAAGTGCACTAGTAATGAATGGAAATTTCACTGTTTATTGTTAGTCGTCTGCCTGCAACTATATAAACAAAAAGGCACTAAGATTAGTGCCCTTAAAAAATTGCATTTGTATAGCAAGTTTCAAAGTGCTTTCCAGCCAATGAAGTATTTTGTTGAAATATAGTCAGTTGTAATGTAGGAAATGCTGTAGCTACTTTACACACAATTTTTCCAAACACAGCAATGTGACAATGACCAGATAATCCATTTGTGATACTGACTGAACAATAAATATTGGTGAAGATTCTTAGGATAATTCCCCTACTCTGTAACAGTGCAGTGGAATCTTGCAGTCCTAGTGATATACAGCCTGAAAACAAATCATCCATGCTGACCAGATATCCTAAATCATTCTAGTCCCATTTGCCAGCATTTGGCCCATATCCCTCCTGACACTTGCTACTCATGTACCCAGCCTCTTAAACATTGTAATCGTACCAGCGTCCACCACTTTCTCTGGCAGCTCAATCCATACACATATCATTCTCTACCTGAAAAGATTGCCCCGTAGATCCCTTTTAAATCTTTCCTTTAAATCCCTCTCGCCTTAAAATTTATGACCTCTAGTTTTGGATCCCGCCACCCTGGGAAAAGACCTGCCCACCTACCCTATCCATGCTCCTCATGACTTTTATAAACTTCTATAAAGGGCACCCCTCAGCCTCCGACACTCCGGTAAAATAGCCCCAGTCTATTAGGTCTCTCCCTATTGCTCAAACCATCCAACCCTGGCAACATCCTTCTAAAATATTTTCTGAACCCTTTCTAGTTTCACAACATTATTCCTGTAGCAGGGAGGCCAGAATTGCACACAACACTCCAAGTTGCCGAACCAATGTTGTGTACAGCCATAACACGACCTCCCAATTCCTATACTCAATACACTAACCAATAAGGGCAAGCATACCACTAGTGTGCTCATTGCATAATGGTCAATATATTAGCATGGATAAAGGATTGGTTGAATAATAGGAAACAGAGGCTGAACATAAAATGGCCATATCCAGCCTGGCAGGATACAACAAATGTACCAGTGTTGGGGCCTCAATTGTTTAAAATTTATAAAAAGTTACTTAGATGAAGGGACCAAATAAATGTTTGCAAAATTTGTTGATGCCATAAGTACAGGTTAAATACTAAGTTTGAGGTCAAAAGGAGTCTGCAAACAGCCACAGATAGGTTGAGACAGTGGGCAGAAAAGTGGCAGATGGAGTATAACATGAGAAAATGTGAATTTGTTCACTTTTACAGGAAGAATATAAAAACACTATATTATTTAAATGGAGGAAAAAAAAGTCACCATTGACAGACTGGGCAGTCCGGATGTGCTGGTACATGAATCACGAAGTTAAATACTCAATTGTAACAATTGGTTAGGAAGGCAAATAGAATGCTAGAGTTAATTACAAGACAATCGCAATGCAAAATTAAGAGTGTTTTTAGGCAGTTGCGCGAAACGTCACTGAGGTCAAACCTGGAATACTGTGTGCAATTTTGGTCCTATTTAAGGAGGCATCTAAAGGCATTAGAAGCAGTTCAAAGAAGGTTCATTTGATCGATTCCTGGAATAAGGAGGCTATCGGACGACAGAAGGTCCAAAAGACACAGCCTGTATCCATTGATGCTAAGAAGGGTGAGATGTGATCTTCATAGACTTGACAGGGTGAATGCTTAAAGGATATCTCCTTTGGCTGAGAAACTAGTTCTAGAGAATGCAGTTTAAAAATAAGAAAGAACGGAAGAGGAATTCTCTCTCACAGATCATGACCCTTTGGAACACTCTCCCCACTGAGTGGGGAGGCACAGTCATTGAATACTTAAAAGGGCAGCAGCAGATACAGTCTTGACTCAAGTGTCCAGGGTTATTGGGGGGTTGGTGGAATGTGGATACTGCTGTAATTAGATCAGCCACATTCTTATTAAATGGTGGAGCTGCCAGACTGGTCAAATGGCCTAGTCTAGTCCTAGTTTATATAGGTTTGTATGTGTTATATCCATCTGAGCAGACAGACATGCTCCTGCTTTAATGCCCAAGTCAAAAAGACAACACCTCCAACTGTGCAATGCTCGCTCAAAACTGGAGAGTCAGCTTGTATTTTGAGATCAAGACATGCAGTGGGATGAACCTGGATGCTATAATTCAGAGGTCAATGTGCTACCAAGACTGACAAATTATATTAATTTGAAGTTGGCTTTTGCTGACCAATACAGTATACCTGAAATTAAGCTATACTTGGGCATATACATTTCTACATATATTCTTGATATGACCAATCAACATTTCTCGCACTTCCTCGGAAGAAACAAAATAGAAATATCCTGCCAAAGTTGTTAGACTCTGATAGCCAATTAGTGTGGTACAAATCTACACTGATTAGAAAATCCCAGGTTTGATTCATGTTTTGTGCTAGATTAGGTGACTTCAGTCAGAGCATCAAGAATGATGTCAGAAAAATATTGGAATTCATAACTGTCAATAATTGGCGTTTGCTGCATAATTCCTGCATGTTAATAATGAAAAAAATTGGGGTGGCAATTGTTTTTAATTGTGTCAAAGATCATGCTTAGCGCCACAACAAAATAATTAAAAGCAATCAGGCTGTTAGTCCTGATATATTCACATCCAAATAGCAGCTAGGTGAAGCACAAGAGGGCATCTGGTATCAAACGGTCAGTAGCTTCAAATAATAGCTTTGTGGGCAGAAAATTTCTATAGCTAATCAAAAACCATTAATTTGCAATACCCTGGAAGTACAAATATTTCTGAATGTCCAGAGTCCAACAGGAACACTCGGAGTGCAGAAAGATCAGATATTCGATACTTTGTCGTACTGTTAGCTTTATCAATTTTCCCTTGTAGCATCAGTTCAGTGATAATTCCTCGGCGCCATGCACGAAAAATGTTGCTATTAACAATAATTCTCTCACCTGTATTTGAAAGAGGAAATTGAATTTAGTTGAAATTTACAACAAATAATAGATTTAGTAAAAGAAACTAAGCAACACTAAAGCAATGATTAGAGATAACATAAGACAGTTGAGGAAGGTCATTCATCATTAACTTGTTTATCCTCCCCATTGCATCCCACTTATTTAAAAAACAAATCTTAACTGAGCAGCATTCAATGATTGTTTAAATTGAAAGTGGAAGATGGTAAAGAATAGTGAGATCAGAAATTGAGTTAGGAGACAAAGGAAAAGCAGTACTTCAGAGCCGTATTCTATATTAGGAGATATAGAGATTAGAAAAAAAAATTCCTGGCTTGACAGATATGTAGAGACAGTTCATAGCCAAGGGAATAAGATGAATTAAGTCCATAAAAAATAGAAACAGGAGGAGGTAAGTTGACCTCTACAGCCTGCTAGTTCAAGTTGCAGAAGAGGTAAACAAATGCACATTAGGCAAGATGGAAGATATTAGTGCAGAGCTGACGGAACCTATCTTGTGATAAGGGTGTTAAGATTTTTCCGGCGCGAGGGCGGAGGGAATGACTGTGTGTGGTTCCTTCAAGTGCTCTAAGGTTAGACATTTACAGAAGAAAAAAAGAAGAAGAAGGTGTCTGTGTATAGCTGAAGATGTACAGCCAGTTCTAAAATGGAAACATATCAATTGGCTGGGTGACTGGAAACCTTAAGTGTTTTGGCAATGAGCTGGAATCAGCCAATTAATTTAAGCCAAGCACTTAGCGATTGAAAGCCAACTGAATTTAAATCTGATGGTTTTCACAACCTCAGACCAACGCTTTTGTAAGAAAATTGATGTCATCCAAGGTACATAAGGAGTGAGTTTTTGGGGAAGAAAAAACCAGTGACAGCAAACCGCCATCTGAGAAATAAGTACCTAGCTCTCACATAAAAATGGCTAAGCTCTCGAAGACGGGACCATCTTATCCGGGTTACCGCTGCACTTCTAGCTAAGAATCTTGACAGAAAAGCATCTCTGACAGCAGGATCAGCAGAACAAAGGTGTTTATGACTTGGAGAGAGTGGAGAAGGTACAGCATTCTGGAAGACACATTCTGTGTGGACTTTGAGAAACGAAGTTTTAATTTTTTTCTTACTACTTTCGGTTATACAAGTGGGACTTGTGTTTATTAGAATAGCGTACAAGTAGAATTTTTGTTCAGTTAGTGGGGAATTTCCCAGTTTAGTATTTCTGTTAATTTGTTCACTATTAAGGTTAAATAAAATTATTACTTATAAAAAGTGAATATCAGGGATTTTCCTTCATTTCATCTCCCCTTCTCTGTAACAGTCACCCAATTAAGGCAGAGACGAGGAGAACTCTGCCCCCCACCACTCCAAGAGGGTTGAGAGCCTGGAGACCTTGCTGAAAAAAGAAGCAGAGTTTTTGAATATTTTTAAACGTGGATTGACTCTTAGCAAGCAAGGAGACGAAAGCTCATCAGGGATAGGCAGGCATGTAGATTAGAGTTCATAATCAAATCAGCGATGGGTCATATTAAATGGTAGGGTATGGGCTACGGGCTATACGGCTCAGTCTTGCTTCTCACTTGTATGCTTGCATATTCTAAGTGACCATGTACTTTTGCTATTCTTTCTTTTTATTCACAAAATGTTTAATAGCCCATAAAGTACGCTTCTATACTTCGTTAATTTATGCTCATTAATCTTTTTTATTAGCTTGATCAACAGTGGGATTTTCAGAAATCAGCAATGCAGTGGCTTGCTAAATATTTTTTAAAAATATTAAAGCAACTTCTTTTGATCTAATATCATTAACCTTTATTTTTCTATTCACAGGATGTGGGTGACATTAGCTAGGCCAGCACATATTACCATCACTACTTGTCCTCGAGAAGGTGGGGGTGAATGCCTATTGGAGCCACTTCAGTCCATGGGGAGTAAATACACCCTCAGTGGTGTTAGGGAAGGAGCTCAGCATTTTGTCCCAGCAACAATGGAGGAATGGCGATCAGTCCCATATCAGGATGGCACGTGACTTGGAATCAACTTACAGGTAGTGGTATTCCAATGCATTTGCTGCCTTCCAGGTGGTAGAGTGGAAAGTTTTGCCAACCGGATGACTAATGCTTCCCACAAAACTTCCGTTTCTCATAGGAATTTACTTCCTGTGAAAGTTATGAATCATTTCTTAAAACGTTTGCCACTGCATATCTAACTCCCATACCTTTCAATCTATTTCTACGCGCACCCCCCCCGCCAATTTTCAAGACCTTATCCCACATATCTAAGGGCAACTGTCTTTAAATTTAAGACAGTTATGATTTAAGCGTGTGAACTTCTATTATATTTCAATCATTTTGCCCCATTAGATACTTTATTTTGAGATCACTAAATAATCCTATGACATTACACACTCTAAAATAGCCTTATCCCTTGTCAATGCCATGATATGTTCTGTCTCCTTCAGTTAGCCAATTTATATTTTCTAAGTCAATTTGTTTGGAAAAGTTATGAACACCTCTAGAACCTGGGACTTCTGGCTCAGAGGTAGGTACATTACCACTGCACCATAAGAATCTTCCAGCTAGCCAATTTACTAACCAGGTTAATAGTTTAACTCTACTTATTCTAATTTAACAGCCCCAATGTGGATTATCATGAACTAGTAATCTTGGGAGCAATGCCTATAATCAACCCCTCAGTAGCTGAATATTTATGGATTTCCATTAACTGTAAATATCTATTTACAGTACAATGGCTAAAGAAGAAATACTCAATTCCATTGATCATCACTGCCCTGGACAGCACTTGACAAAATGACTAGTTCCAAGTAAGCTTTAGTCTCTCTGCCAGCACTGCCACACAGTATAATATGAAATGATGGATTATAAAGAACTAGGTCTGACAAATATTCAAAATATACAAAAAGGTGAATTCCACCTTTCAACCGTTTTTAAAAAAAGATTTCAAATTGTAACTAACACTAATATTATAGTTACCAAATTCCAGTGTAGCTGCCGGAGATTTTTGCAATTCCATGCAACGAGAGAGATTGTCAGCTTCTGCTGCCAAGACAATAGCTTTCTTTTTCTCTGAAGACTTTTGGATGTAGAAATGGCATGGACTAATCACATGACTCACCGAAACCAATCCCTGAAAACCTGAAGTACAACAGTTCATAAAATTGTTTGTTTTATTTAAATACAGTAGAGAAGATACAGAGTGCACATATACCCAAAATCCTACCTGCACAACAGCCAAAGTTGGTGTCTGAAACATTTTTCTTATGAAAAGTCTTTTTCTGTCTCTTTGAAACTTGTCGAAGTTGTTTTGGATCATTTTGATCAATAGTACCAGACACAACTAAAAACATGAAAATTCTGAAAGTACCTCCTCCAAAATATAAACAGATGGCAACATGATTAAAGCACACACAAAATAATTCTGCACGATTTAAGTCACTTCCATAGTCCTTTAAAAAGAATAGATCAAGAAATATAACTGTCATTCTGCGTAAGAGTTTAAGTGATTGGTTAGAATGAAAATAGGCATATGCTACGTCAATACTGGAAGATTACAGAAACTTCAAAGTAGCGATCAGTTCAAAGGCATCATGGCTGATCAAAAGACCCAGCAACTTGTTTTTTGCGGGGGGGGGAATGGAGGAAGGCAGCGTTGGCTGCTAAAAAAAAACTAACTTCTACCCTGGTGACCCCCATCATTTGTGGCTTGGGTCCCTCAACAATTGTAGGCTTTCCTTGGATGTAGTAGCTACAGCCACCATGACCAATGTCACTGCTAGCAAAATCAGTAACTGACCAATTATTCTTGACAGGCTGGATTTCTAACCTCTAGGGTCTTAAACTTCGGTAAAGCCAAGGGCCTAGGGGAAACTTAATCCTGTTAAAAACTTTCCTCAGTAGAGGCAGTACAGGATTCTTGTCAAACCAGTAGGCAAGATGAAATTGTAGCCAAATGATTTCAATATTTAGAAGTCTTTTGAAAAAAAAAAGGTGATTTGGTTCTCGAGAGCACCTACTGATAACTTAGCTTTATCATTCACACTCTCTCTGGATGCAGCTATTCCTTCCTTTTCCCATGATCAACTCCTTTGCCCTTCACCATTATCCTCGTCATCATGTAACCTCTCCAAAATACATCCTATCACAGACAACTTCTATTCTTCCCTCATTTCCTCCTACTCCAACAGTATCTATTAGCATTTTAAACTTTTCAGTTCTAACAAAGACTGACTCAAAACATGGACACAAGTTTTGTCTTTCCACAGATACCGAGAAACTTGCAGTTTAATTCCAGCATTTCCTATTTTTTATTTCAGGCTTCCAGCATCCACAATGATCTGTTTTGACTTTTTAAGTATTAGGCTAAGTAACTTAGTTCAGTGCTTCTTCACACATTGAAGATATGAACAGAAAGCATAACTCCTTGGTCCTGTGCTTACATTCTTTTTTGACCAAATTTGTACGCATTGTGTATTTTGTATCTCCTCAATTTATTTGAAAATTTGCAGGTGCATTCTATTTGGACTTGTGCTCTTATCCTTAAGTTTGACTAGTCTATGTTCAATGTGATTGAGTAACTAAATTTCACTAGAGTTGGAACAACTTCAACATTTCCTTTCATTCAATCATAAATGATTCATTTTTCTATTTTATTATTCAACATAAACTAAAGATCAACAAAAAAAGCAAGTGTTCAATATCGTTTGGGAAATAGCCTTTAGAAGCTTTCTAATATATTGGAAATGGATATTTTCACATTGAAGAAAGTGTCCTATAATAAAGCTAGGTTCCTATAAAAAGTAAATCAATGATACATACTTGTGTTGGCATCTTCAAATATTTCTTCAACAATAACATCTGCATCTTTACTTAAAATGGATAATCTGTTCTGACAGCGCAATGAAGAACTTTCCCATATTTTTGGGCTAGTGCCCAGCTGAGAAACATTCATATCATGGTACATTAAAGAATCCACTTTCTGTTTTTTCTCATAAGATTCAACTCTGCAGCTTGCAAAATGTTGTTCTCCCCCAAGTGAGCCATTTTGTTTTGTAATTTTCCCAAATTCGTTTTGCAATTTTTCTATCCTTGAAGCAATAAACCTGTAAACAGTGAAAAATGGGAGGAAAAAAATATCAATGTAAGAATGTGTCTTAGAGGATGTGCAATGAAAAGTTCACCAATTCTTGAGACAAAGCAGCTGTCCAATGCAAAGAATCTGAGTGGAATGGACAATCTCATTGAAAACAAAAGACTCAGAGCTCAACTGTAAAAGGACTTCATTGGGTAAATGTTGAGAGACAATGTTCCTTATCTTGAGAATGCAGAACTCGAAGGTATAGTGTCAAGAGAACAGCCAGCTTTTACAACCAGGAGAAATGTCAAACAGTTCCGAGGAAGGGTTACTGGACCTGAAGCGTTAACTGTGTTCTTTCCTTCACCGATGCTGCCGGACCTGCTGAGCTTTTCCAGCACCTTCGTTTTTGTTCCCGATTTACAGCATCCGCAGTTCTTTTGGTTGTTTTAAAACCAGAGAAATGTCTTTGCCTAGAGAACTGAAACTCTTTGGAATTCTCTACTCCAAAAAGTTATAGAAGTTCAGTCAATGAGTGAGTATAGGCAAGACAGAGATCAACTCATTTTTGGGCAAGAAGGGAATCAAATGATATCAGTTATGGTAAGAAAGTGGTTCACATAACTCCAAACTTATTCCTCAGTCTAGATGGCCCACAACACCCCTACTATTTCTTTGACAGAAATATTAATGGGCAGCATCTCACCATATGCTTGAATTATGGTATAAAAGGTTACGTGTTGATCCATTTAACATTGCAACAGTTAACATTTGAAGGTTTCTTATAATATTGTCAATATCATTAGAATTATACTGTACAAGATAGCATGAAGGATCTGTCATAATTTGCCTTTTTTTTAAAAATCAACCAAATAGTGGAAAAAAATTGGTTTTCTGTGCATTTTGACAATTATCTATGCACTAGCAATTATCATATTCTTACTGCGTTCTAATTCTGATAGAACTCTATAAAACATCTAATTTTTTGCTAGATAACCAGGACCACCTTCAATGTTCTGCATGCCAGTGGGGAGTCATTGTTGTTGAAATGGGAGGAAAATGCAGCAGGTCTTGCTATGTCCTCTTTCCAGATTGACTTCATGAATTTGAAAAGCTCTTTTACTTCTAATGAGGCACCCAGCCGCATGTCACAATGGCGAGCAAGGGCAGTGAGTAGGAGAGCTCAGTCAGTGGAGCCAAATCTCTCTGGACGAAAGGGTTTGTTTATCAGAAATAGGCCTCAGACAGGGAAAGAAAGAATTTTCTTAACGAGATGAGAACTTACAGGCTTAATTCTGCATTGATATTATTTCCTAGTTTACCCTTAATTTCCTTACATATTTGTAAAGCCACGATAACAGTAGAAAAATAAATTACAAATGGCCCAAAGATTGTGAAGCAGTGCGCTTTAGGTTCTCATTACATTTCTGCTGTTATCAGCAGGATTCCAGAGCACAAGCATCTAGTCATTGCAGTCACAGTTGAAAAAGGTGCCTGGTTGTGATGGAACAGATGGAGAAGTTGAAACTGGCAAGGTCCAGGAGGGAAGCCAAAGTTTTGCTGGTATTACTGGAGACTCAGGCGCTGGTGGTGAAAAATCAAACCTCAAGGCCAAACCCAGGCAGACATTCCCTCACATATGTTCCCTCGTTGCTGCAGGAAGAAGCAGTTCCCACAGTTGAATATTCACTTGTCACTGGAGAAGGAAGCTGGACATATCTGCGGGAAGACTGGAGAAGCCCCAATGATACAGTGACTGGAGACCGAACTGAGGTTATCGCAGCCAGGAGCTTCACCACAATCAAAATAGGCAAAGCTCACAATGGAACATCTTTGCAGAAAAGCTCAATCAGAAAATACTAAGAAGAGTAAAACATGAGCAAGGAAGTCTACAGATCTACTAAGTACTGACAAAGGGCTTTTGAGGACAGCAGCAACTCTCTGCCACTAGAGGTTTTACCAGTACAATCAAAGTCTCTGGAATATCTTCACCAGCTCCAGGAACACAATCACATTCTCTTCCTAGATTCTTCCCTCAAACTGACCAGAGACTTACAAGCTAAAGGACCACCTTGTTGAAGGGGTGAAGGATGGAAATGTCCAGATGGTGTTGAGGAGGCTCGAGAGACAAACCTCAATTGTCCCATTTTGAAGCATGTGATCACAACATCTAGATCATGGAAAAATATTCAACTCCCAAGACCAAAAAAGTGCCCATCAACAGCAGGATGACTGTTAGCGTGGATAAGGATGTAGATCTCAATACAGGTAGGAAGAACAAGTAGTATACCAAGTACCAAATCTGTACCGTCTCCACTATAACCATGGCAGCAGATTAACCCCATCAGATGCTGCAAAGTTACGTTGAGATTGTGACAGGGTTGGGATTTCAAGTGAGACTGCCTTTGACAACCAAAACCATCACTGCCATCAGACACAGAGACCCCTTCTCACGAGATGTTAAACTAGTTTGGCCTCTCACATACAGCCAGGGTGGGGAATTCCTTCAGGCAGAAACTTGGTCTTATATACAGCTATGGGAAGTTGCCTACAGCAAGTGTAAAATTTGTCAAGGAGCAGAGCTGTCAACTGTTACTCAATTTTTCCAAAAGCATCTTGCTGCAGGGTATGACTGATCAATGTGTCTTCCCTCATCCAAGTCTCCACTTTGCAAGGTTTGGTATCCTTTATCATGACTACAATCAAGCTCTGCCATAAACCAATCAATACTCTAGTAGAAGAAAGACAGTTGAAAATACCCGTACAATTGGGGTCCAAACTGTTAGAGGAAAAAATACGTCTTGGGAAAGCATGCATGGTCAATTGTATGAGCAGTAAATTATGAGTTTGACAGATTGAGTTCAGAAGTCTTAGATTTTTCTGTGCTCTCATGGTGCTTCACCCTATACATTAGGTCCCGAAATATTTGAAGAGCAGGAAATCAGGCTGCTCTTTACCCTGCCTGCAGCACTGTTCTTGAAGGCTCATGCCAGTCATCTCTAACTGACTGAGATCAGCTGGCTGGAATATCACTTGTCACATGTAAAAGAGCTCCTACTTGGTGCGACTTCAGAAGCTGTGATAGAAAAGGCTAGGGTATCAATGCAAACTGCCAATTTCAGCAAAGCTGTTCACCTTCAACTGAGAATTGCCAAAAGTGTCCTTAAACCATTCGTGACTAAGATACTGGAGTAGACCATTTCCAAATACAGCAAGACCTGAATAATATTCAGCTGACAATTTGCAAGTAGCATTTAATCCATACAATTGCCAGGCAAAGACCATCTCCAACAACTATCCATCATCCCTTGACATACAATGGTATTACCATTGCTGAATGCCCCAGTATCAACATTCAGGCAGTTACCATCGACCAGTAACTGAACTGGAGTAGCAATTTAAATGGAAGAGTGGGTCAGAAGGTAAGAACCCTGTAGCCTATAGCTCACCTCCCAACTTCCCAAAACCTCTTCACAAGACAGGTCTGAATGGATTACTCCACACTTGCCTGGATAACTAATTCCAGCAACAAAAGAAACTGGACACCATTCAGAACAAAGCAACCTGCTTCACTGGCACATCCTCAACATTCATTCCCTCCACCACTGAAACAGAGTAGCAGCAGTGTGTACAACCTATTAGACGCACTGCAGAAATTCACTATAGCTCCTTGGACAGCACCTTCCAAATCTATATCCACTTCCATCTAGAAGGGCATGGGTAGCAGATACAAGGGAACACCACCACCTGCAAGTTCCCTTTCTGAGCTACTCATTATCCTAACATGGAAATGTATCACCGTTCCTTCATTGTCACTGGGTCAAAATTCTGGAATTCTCTCCTTATCATTGTGGGTCTACCTACACCAAACTGACTTCAGTGGGTCATGGAGGTAGTTCAGCACCCGCTTCTTCAGGGCAATAAATAATTAAATAAAGACCAGCAATTGAAGCTCACATTCCCTGAAATGAATTAAAAAAGCTGTCACTGTTGTAGCAATGGACTAACCTAAACACCTTTCAAGAGAAGGACACCCAGAAGATGCAGACTGCTTCTACGCTCAAAGAAAGGGGCAATTTTCAGCAACACCATTCCAGATACTGGTGACCTTGTGAGCAACAGGATTTTGCTAATGGTGACCATCTAGCAAAAGTTCCTTAATACCAGATCTCACCTAATCAGAGTTCCATGACTACCTGCAGAAATCTTTGGGCCAGGTTTTAATTAGAAAGTCATCAAGTCTGTATACCTCCCTCAGAATCCCCATGAAGACGACAGTCAAAAATGAGGATGTCAATTACCAGCATTCAAAGACTCCGAAGGATGTCCATCCTCTTCCTAGGACTGAGTAAGTATTTGGCGGAAGGTATAACTAGCTACTCAGTAGTGAGCAAGACCTGAAAAGATCGCATTCTGGCATGACTCCAGGGGAGTTTACAAGTACACAAGAATTGTATTTAGGCTGTCATTGCCCTACCACCTTCATGCACATCATGGACGTTTTTTAGGATCTTAATGCAATTATCTTCAACTCAACACTTGAGACCCGTAAAAGACTAGACACTACCCTAACCCACCAACCCCAGAATAAGAGACTCCTTTTGCACCCTCAAGAAGAAACTTGTCCTATCATCTGTCCTGGACTATTCAGATTTCCTTTTCCCCATCACACTGGAAACCAAAGCCAAAACCTTGGAGCAGTGCTTGTCACAAGTTCAAAGGCAAAACGTGTATATCTTACGTCAGTTGGAGTCTCAAGCTGAATGACAGAAACATGCAGAATTACTCCAGTGTGGGAAACCCTGAACTGCTAGCTTCCAAGTGAGCCATTTCCCAGACGGTCAGAGGCATTCTGATTAGTGCAGAGACTTGAAGCAGGTATTGGCTACAGTCCATTCAGTTGCTTCCAAGCATCCAACTGTGAGGCAGAGATGCAATGGTTTACTGAACTCCATTTGATTCCAAATTTGGTATAGGTCTGGTAACAAGTTTTGCAAATGCTGATACCCTTAAATCAGAAGGCCCACAGGAAGGAACCCACCCCTGCCCAGTTAGAGGGGGCTATAGCTGATGCAATGCCCCTAGTCAAAGGCAGCATTGCAATCATGATCTACAATAACATCTGTACTAAGATTCAGCAGTGACTCCCTGATGCACTTATGACAGAGATCCAAAACAGGCCTAAGGTGGTAGAGCTAAGTCTTGCCACCCTTCTCAAAAAGGTGTCCACAGTCAGCATCAGCTAGTTGATATCAGTAGACTACAATACTACTAGAAAACCCAGCATCCACCAATTCAGTGTCACTAATGAGGGAGTCCAAACGGGCACAAGACAAGGATCAGGGAGGATGATGGAATTCTCTATCAATTGGTTTATGACAATGAGGGAAGGTGATGGCCTATTCGTATTAATTGCTATACTGTTAATCCAGAGACCCAGATAATGTTCTGGGGACCCAGGTTCAAATCCCACCATGGCAGATGGTGGAATTTAAATTCAATAAATATCTGGAATTAAGTTTAATGATGACCGTGAATCCATTGTTGGAAAAACCCATCTGGTTCACTAATGTCTTTTAAGGAAGTAAACTGTCATCCTTATCTGGGCTGGCCTACATGTGACTCCAGACATACAGCAATGGGGTTGACTCTGAACTGCCCTCTGGGATGGGCAATAAATGCTGCCTAGCCAGTAACACCCTCATCCCGTGAATGAATAATAAAAACAAAGGGGGCAAAGTGACTCATTTCTTGCAAACTGACAAGTGTCAACTGCTGGTAGCAGCTCATGATCAAACAGGAGGCCAAGTTTCCAGAAAGAATGACTGCACCTGACCAGAAAGAGATGTCATGACTTGGAATAGTTGCTGATATTTGTTTAATCATCATAGAATATGGGCAAAATTGAACAGGCCCACATTTATAGCTTAATTACAAGTCAACATATTGGTGTGGGTCAAAACTAGGTGAAGATAGCAAGTTTCTTTCCCTAAAGAGCATTAGCAAACCAAATAGATTTTTAAGACAATTGACAGTAGTTACATTAGACTACCTTTTCATTAAATTTAAATTTCACCACCTACCATGGTAGGATTCAAAACCATGTCCCCACAACATTAGCATGGGGTTCTAGATTACTAGCCCAGTGACATTACATATGTGGGAAGGCAGTGGCATTGGTGAATGCCGAAGTTGTGTCACTGCTTTGTCAAAGCTGGGAAGCAACTTCAGCACTGGATCACTATTCAAGAGATCTCTGGAGGTCCTTGCAATTAATTTAAGGATCCTTGACCCCAGAAGTAAAGCAGTAAAACATGTTCTCTACTCAGATGTCATCACCTTAATCACTGGCCATTTCCACCAATTGCCAAATATCCTCAACTATAGCAACACTGTTAATAGGTGACTGGTTTGTGCATTTCAATGCCCCATCGTTGGATTCACACTGATCAAGGATGCAACTTCGTAAGCAGAATCCTTGAGGCATTTCTGGTATTGCCAAGTGCTGCACCAGCCACTATATGTTGTTGTTAATGCCACATGTTAAAGATGGCAGTCAAGAGGCCAGAGAGAGAAGTACCAAAAAGAATCTCAAAGCTGGTGGCAAATGAAGTAACAAAAAAGGTGTTGCCGATCTAACAACTCCTGGAGACCTGACCGACCTAGACCCCAACATGGGTGATCTTCCAGAGAGTCTGGATCCCACAGAAAGTACCAATATCGATAAGAAACTCAGGTGGTCCTCTCGAGCAAACGCTGGTTATCACCTCAACAACTTCCATTTGCCCAGATCAATGACGTAAGAGGAGAACGCTGCCACTAATGCAGAACAAAACATTCTAACCAAGTGGCATAATCTAACCAGCTAGTCATACAACTACTTAGTAAAAAGATACTGTGTGTTGTGTAGTTACCAGATAGTAGGTTACAATCAGGAAGTAAGTTCCTGCTTCATCCTTGCAAATTCTCTTCATACCCTCTCCAGTTTCCACCCTGGCTGAGGTTACCACGAAGGGTCCCTCCTCCTCAACCTTACCCCTTGCCTGAGGTATTTTGACCCCCAAATAAAACTCACCAATCGTCTCTCTCCAACGTAAGAGCAGTCCTATGGTCCTCTGGGTCTACTTACACTTTACCTTTGGTTTTTACAACATGGTGACCACAACTCCATGCTCATCAAGCATAGGTGAGCCACGATGTGGTACAGGTTTAGCATAAATTCCCTACTTATGAATTCAATGCTGTCAAAATAAAGTCTTGTCTCTGCTTTTATTTTAATAGCCTTGTTAACCTGCAGTTTAAATTTGTTCAAAGGATTATAAATAGTGTCCCTCTACTTCATCGAGTGCTATCACTTGTTACTGGAAGTGTCCTTCTATCCTTCCCAGCAGAATATACTACCTCAAATTTACCTGCAATGGATCACATATATACATATACACACAGACACTTCAGATCTTCAGCACACAATGATTAACTAATACACAAATACATTCACAATATTATATTGCAGCTACTTACTTTTCTGATCCCAATTCAATTCTTCCTAAATTTGCAAGCCCCATCATTATTACTCCAGATTGGATTTGAAGCCTGAGGTAAAAATAAAAGTAAACATCAACATTACCAGTGGAATCTGAAAATAATTCTTCCCTTTCCCCATTTCCCCTCCCTCTTCTCAAATGGAATATAATTCCATTAGTAATGGCCACCCTCAAAAGACTAGTATCAAAATAAGAAAAAAGAAGAAGTTGTTGTGAACTTTGTAGGCAAATATTGGCAGGTAACTGAACTTAGTTTGGCACAGGACCTCATTCTCTCATTTTTGTATAATAAGCTTTTAGTGTTTGGAGTTGAGACAAGTCAATCTATACAGTTATCGCAGTTTGGACACTTATCTACTTCCCTCTACAGCATGAATAATGAAGTTAAAATTAACCGCACTGTGCCAACATAACAGCAGTTTCAAAAAGGTTTTTAAGTCTAAATTATTCTGAGCCAGGTTACCGGTCAGTAAATAACACATACACCATGTTCTAAAAGGTGTTTTAACACGCATATGAAGTTTGAAGGTGGCAACAAGTAGAATAAAATTTATTGGGTGGGGAGGGCTTTACAATAGCAAGTCATGGGACAATGAGAATAATATTGGTGTCACTTTATAAAATCTGACACAAATCATGGGGAGTCAGAGGCAGCAGCCAGGACACGTCTTTGCTACGCGTGATAGAATGTGCTGTAGTACCTTTTCAAATTTCGAAACAATCCAGAACAAAGATGTTGACTCAATAGGCACCATATTTGCCATGAACAAAACTTCTATCAACCAGAAGGACCTGGGTGGAACACCAGGAACACCATCTGAAAGTACCCCAAATCACAAGCCATCCTGATTTTGAACTCTCACTCATCACTGCTGCACTAAAATCTATGTTAAATAACACTTTGTAGATATACCTACATCACAGAAACTGCAAGAAGAACATGGTTTGTCGATCAAGCATAGTTGGGGATGGGCTAGACAACACCTCATGAAAAACAAAAATTAAAAACCTCCTGTCCTCTTCTCTAACATTGAGAAGAAGCACCAATACCACAGGAACTTTACATCCAGACTTAGACATATTATGTACTTCTTCAATTGCTATATTGGTATCCTCATTGCTTACTTAACACCATCATAAGATCAGAGAAAGTGTGCTTTTTCTTGTTTAATCAATAATTTGAGTTCAAACTAAAGCAAGCACTTACCTCAGATCAGTTCTCAACTCTAGGGTCTCTACAATGTTATTTACTTGATCTAAGCATTTCAATTTTTCAATAATCTGAAATTAAAATACAGGAAATAAAATGAAAACAAAGACTGTTTCATAAGAATGCCACCTCAAAATAAGCAAGGAGCACACAGATGCGGAAATTCCACCTATAACACTGCCAGGCAACTGATGCTGTTGCCTTCCAACAGGGAGGAAAGTCTACTGAGCCAGCCCTCGGGCATTTGCTTAAGTGGAGGCAAGGTCGTCAGTGACGTCAGCTAGGACACATTCCCAAAGTTCAAATTCAGCCCAGAATTGCAATCATACTCTTGCCCAGCACAAGGAACTGTGCAACTGAACAGCCAGCACTGTGACTTTGCAACCTTTGACCCCACTCCTGGAACTTCGGCCTCAGTAGGGCCATCTGCGCACACACAGCCAATGTGACATTAAAACATAGAAAGTAGTGACATTAACCATTTATGCTTTAGGGGTGGTCTATCCCTAATTGATATCACTGGGCTTATGCACATGTCTTTTTGTATTCATGCTAATCAATCCAAAGCAGAAAAACTGAAGATAGAGATTAGGTAGCTTTTGTACAAGGCATGTTCTGGTCTTTTCCCCCCCTCCATCTTCCACCCATCAGAAGGCAGCAGAGTTTAAATACAAATGCAAAATCACTGCATAAACCATTCGTACAATTTGAAAAAAAAAAGTGCTAGTTACTAAATTTAACAAAACCTTCCTAATATAACTCAAGATTTAATGTGGCATATGCCTCAATCTCCTGTGAATGATGTAGCTGCATACTTACCTTTACGACAAAAACAATTACTGAAAGTGCTGGAGTCAGCACTTTGGGATTGTTATGCTAGTGATAAAAATGGATTATTAATTTTTGACTTCTATCAATTGACTTTAACAACTGAGACCATTTATGAACTGAAATGGTTTTAGTTTAAAAAAAGGGAAGAATCAGACATAAGACGGTCACAGTGATCACTTGAACAGGTTAAACCAAAATCACAAAATCAACAACCAAAACCAAGGCTGTACTGAAATTAGATCGGTGTGGAGCTGGAGGAACACAGCAGGCCAGGCAGCAGAGGAGCAGGAACATTTCGGGTCGGGACCGTTCTTCAGAAATGGGGTAGGGGGAAGGGAGTTCAGAAATAAATAGAGAGAAGAGGGGTAGGGGTGGGGCTGGGGAAAGTAGGTGGGATGGTGATCGGTGAGTGTGGGTAGGGAATGGTGGGGATTGATCAGGGAGGTAGGAGGGGCGGATTAGGTGGGAGAGAAGATGGACAGGTTGTGTCAGGTCAAGGAAGCAGGGATGAGGCCAGGAGGTGGGGAAGATTTTGCAACTGGTAAAATCCACATTTAGGTCATTGGGCTATAGGCTCCTGAGGCAATGTTCCAGTTCATGGTATTTTAGAAATGAAATATTCTTCCATAATGCACTTTACATACCTTTTTATATCCAATTCTTACCTGGTGTGAATGACAACACGTCATGAGACGTTTCGATTTGGACTGCTCTAAATTTTTTATGGCAGAGTCTAAGCCATTAATCTTCTCTTTGAGCACATTTTGGAGTTTAGCAATCCCTTTCAGGTGCTGTTGTACCAGGAATTCTAACTCATTCAACAAGTTTTCTTTCCTGCAAAAAGGAGGCAAGGACAAATTGAATTATATTCAGTACTTAAGGTCAATGCTTATTGTTTTGAACTTTAGGAATAGAAATGCAGGTAAGGTTAATAAAACACAAAAGAAAACAAACAAATAAAATAATTATGTAATTAATTAAGCATATTAAAAAGGCTCCAGGATAAATGATGCGTTACAGCTGCAGGGAGCTCCTGGATGCCAATGTGATCCTGATCAAACATGTCCAAACTCAGTGCTTACAGCAAGAGTACAGCTCAGTGTTCCAGAGCTTGATACCAAGCTTGACAACACATCAAGACGGAGGAAAGTTACCTTTCAGCTAGGATGCAGTTATATCACTTGGGATAGGGTCACCTGATTTTAGTCAATAGTCAGAGACAGAGGAGTACAGGAGTGCAAATAAAATAGGTAAGGGATGGAGGATGAGGCTCAGTCTTTGAAATTGTCAAACAGGTTCCAAGCCTTTTCAGCCCATTTAAAATGTGGCCAGGGCTTCAAGGTGGATGAGCTAACTTACCATGGTACAAGTGGCTATTTGAGTAGACAAAGTGAAAAGGAATGTAGTGGTAGGGAGGGACAGGAAATTGAGGGGTGATTGATACAATCCTCTATAGCAAACAGCATGTGTCCAGAAGGCTATCCTCTCTGTTCTGGACTGAAGAGGAACTTTAACTGGGATGGGAGAATCCATTCATCATAACTTAGGTAGATGCAAACCAAGACCAGAACAAAAAGGCTCTGCATTATTACTACGAGGAGTTTGACACCAAATTAAGCAGAATCACAAAAAAGGTAAGAGCCTCTGGATTATGGGAGATAGACTACAAATCTAAAGTGTAACAGAAGGCTAGAAGATACAAATATAATAAAGAGGACAAGACTAAAGGCTCTATATCTGAATTCGACTAACATTCCAACCAGAAAGCAGGTTTATACAAGATACGTAGTGTTGTGGAATGTCAACGGTTGGCTCTGTTAATTAATGATGGAATTAGCACAGTAGAAAGGGATCACCCAAGTTCAGGGCACTGGAAAATAGAAATAGTTCATGTAGGAGTGACAAATGACAAAGGCAAGAACTTACTAATCGGAGTGACGTACAGAAATAATGAATTAGGCCAGAACATACAGGAATAAATAATGGGAGGAGGGTGTTACAAGTACACAGTGATAATCATAGAGGCATTTAATCTACATAGAGATTGGAAAATTTAAATGAGGAAAGGTAGCCTAGATAAGGAATTTCAATGTTTTTGGGATAATTTCTTAGAACAAGATGCTTTGTGGTTAACTAGAAGGCTATATTAGACCTGGTATCGTTCAATGAGATAGGATTAATAATCTCAGGTGAATGCAAAGCTAAGTAGCAATGACCATAAAATGACTGCATTCACCTTGAGGTGGGGAAGAGAGGCCCCAAGACTAGTATTTTAAACCTAGATAAAAAGATAATTTGAGGACGTGAAAAGTAGAGGAAGTTAAAAATTAAAACAACAAATTAGGTTACAGGGTAGATTAATAGAAATGCAGTGGCAGACATTTAAAAGGGGCATTTCAGAATACCAAATATATTCCAAAGAAAAAAAAAACTGAGGAGTAGGCCAAACATCTGTTGTTAACTAAAACTGAGAGCGAGCATATGAAACATTGGCAGTACAGCCTAAAGGGACTCTTCTGCATGATTCTAAATATATACAATTATACAAAGATGGGAAGCAGGTCAGAAGATCAGACAAAATACAAAGGAATAGCAAAAATATGAAAAGGGGAAAATCCAGAATGAGAGAAAGCCAGGCAGAAATAGATACAAGAGTTTCTACAGACAATTTAAAAAGTTAAAATGAATCTTAGCCAAATGGAAATTGACTGGGGAATTAATAATGGAAAATATTCATCAAGCATTCTGCCTCAGTCTTACTGGGGATATTATTAGTAACCAAGTAAAAGCTGTAGGCAGGAAATGGAGAACATCAGTAACCAGGAAAGGGGTATTGAGCAAACTGCTGTTACAGGTTGACAAGTGTCTGGATCCTGCTGGACTTCACCCCAAGGTCTTAAAAACATAGTTAGTAAGACAGTCAAATGAGTTGGCTTCAACTTTAAAAAATTCCCTATATTCAAGGAAGCTTCAGATAGATTGGAGAATAGGGAATGTAACTCCTTTATTCAAAAGAAAAAGAAGAAAAAGAAATCTGGAATTAAACAGTCTAATGCTACCACGAGAAACAAAAAGTTGCTGGAGTAGCTCAGCAGGTCTGGCAGCATCTGTGAAAGAGA